GCAGCTGTCCTGCGGACGGTGGTAATGAGGAGGGGCTGTGCTGGGGGGTATGTGTTGCGGTAGGCCGGGCGGGTCGGCATCGATGAGGCTGTGCTGGTGCAGGGAGTCGGGTGGATCAGGCTCGGCGTCCATAGAGTCGTCAGTTCCGGTGACCGAGGTGAGCGCGGTCGCTGCGGAGTCTGTGCTGGTGTTGATCGTCTTGTCCGAGGTCGTGCTGCTGCCCATCACCACAACCTGCTGGAGGGAGACAATTTTTAAAGACACTAAACAACATTTTTTATTAGTCATAGCATATCGTTTATCTAGATTTTATTTATTCATATGCTAAGTAGTTGGTATAATAAAAATCTTTGCAAGTATTTTTTTGTTATTTAGTATTCTGTGTTATTTCTATATTCTAGACATTTACAATAACTGAATACTCCAGTTTACAATTTAAGTAATATCTTAAAAGCGATAAATAGTAATAAAATAAGAAAACCTTGTAACACTTGGTAGGAGTAGCTGAGAGGCTGAGAGTAATATCAGAGAGTGGATCATAAAATATGAAATGCAGATAAGACGCGAGCTCATAGCTAACACGACTTTATAATGTCTTAAACAGTATCGCGGGAGATCGCATGATTCTGATGTTTTATTGACGATGTTTTTTTTTTATTTAACCTAACATAGAGTAAGATTTAGTAAGTTACTCTAGAATATCTAACTTTAATTGTAATGAATACTTGTCACTTGCTTAAAATGTTTGTATGAATGGATGCATTTTATAGTAATCTTAGGAACGTCTTGACGGATCTTGATGTAATTTAGCATAGATGTAGAGCATAGTCTGGAAGAACACATAGTATACAGTATACTAAAGATGTTTTACTGTTACATATCAACGTGTTACAGCTATAGATAGGACGTATAAAAAAGCCATGTTTTAGAATTGCTAAAATTACACAATAATAAAAACATTCGTAAACCGACATTCGTAAGTGAAGGTTTAAAAGTTTCATGGGACCACTCAAGTTGAGTACCTGAAAGGTGGGTTAAGTTAAACCGGTCGTAAAGTTCAGAGTAGTGGTAATAGCACAGGCTGTAGGTAAGTGATATGGTCGGTGGTAAATTTTTACTGTTATGCGATAAGTAACATATCTTACTGCTCAAGTTAAAACCTCATACTAACCATTTTTAATATGAACCTGGTATAGATTTGGTTTGTTCCAGCGAACTACTTAGTATTATGGTTTGAATCTGATGACGTCTTATATCGTCGAATCTTATATTTCACTGATTTTTATGAAGTTTTATTTGTATATTCAGTAGTTCTGCGACTTTGCTACTATTTTTAAAGGCCTAAAGAGAGTGATAACTAAAGTTTAATTCTCTTAGTTTCTATAAATTTAAAAAAAAAACAGATGAATCAAGAACACGTAATTTAAACAAAAGAAACTTGATTTAAAACATAGTACAAACTACTGAAAATCTCCAGCAAACCTCACTTAATTAAAGAGCATGTTCTATATTGAAAATTATATAGAGTATGAATACAGAGGGGGCACTTTCACTTAATTAATATGATTTTATACCACAGAGTAGTTACGAACAGAGTGTTCATTAAGATTAATTCCGTTCAGTGAATCTGCTAAGTGAATCAGTTTTACCCCCGAGGCAATACATGAAATAAAAACTATAGCTTAGCTAAAGATTTCATTTTTCATTATAATTATTTTGTTTTTGTTCTTGTTATTTATATTACCGTGGATTTTTTATGATACCTTTTCAATACATATTGCTATCTCTATCATTCTCTTTGATAACAACAGAGACAACAATGTCTATTACTCTTTAACAGTGGTAGAGCCCGCTCTAACACCTTCGCACGAATTGTCCCGGCTCGCCCGGTGCGCAGAAGACAGGCGTGAAGTGAAAGCAATTCCGCGTACAGTGTGATGAGTGTGCGTCCCGGAGGCTTAATTTCACTGCTGTTCCCTGTTCCATCATCTCCTAATAAGGATAGATTATTAGAAAAAGCTGGGAGTAGTTTGTGTAATACTAGGAGCCGCCCGTTACTCCTTCCGCGTAGAGTTAAAAAGTAATTTGTAGTATATGCGGTAATAAAGGCTGAAATCATTTCATGTTCCAAGTTTAACTCAGACAAACATTCGAATTGTATTATTAATATGATAGATAAGTATGTAAGTGAAGCAGGCGTGACCTGCTGTGAATGCGAGTTGCAATCACTCGCGCTGGAGGCAGCTGTTCCATTGTAAACACTTCTCGAGTCTTCTCTGCGAGAAATCAATTTAAACTTTTACAACTTTGTTGTAAAACAAATACTAAGTTATTGAAAAGTGCAAATATTTGAACTGCGCCAATTTAAAGTTTTTAACACTATCAACTAACTCACTTGTTAAAAATATATCTAAGTTTTAACTGAGCAGTAAAATTACTTTATAGATGCAACTAGCTGTCGCCCGCGACCTCGTCCGTGAGGAATTAAATGAAAATCTAGTTAGAAATACAATAAAACAATATTATCTCGCACCAAATGTGTTTCTCCAAAGAGGAACGAAGGAACATGGAGTATGTCATCTCGTGCATAGAGTTTTGCATGTCCAAAGAAGATGAAGTTCTATTTAATATTAAATTAAAAAAAACCAAGATATTTTTTTCGGATTTTAAAGGGTTAAAATGTATTGTAAATATGCAAATCAACCGTATGGTTGAATGTGGAATACGTTGTGATGAGAGTTACAGGTGACTGGGTACGATCGCTCTGTTTTTAATTACTGTCAACTTCAGAATGTATTCAGCGACGACACACGCTGATATATTATTGAAAAATAAATTGAAACATTGCTTCATTTTGAAATAAAAGTTTTTAGTTTATTTGAACTTAGACTAACATTGCATACAAAATTATAGTTCTAATTGTTATTGAGTACGAACGCAATCAAAATAAAAATACTGCTTATAAAAATCAATTTAAATAAAATGTGTCATTTTCTAATCCGAGAGTCTAGCAGAAATATTTGCGATACGCGTTTTCGTAACGGCCTCGGCAAAATATGTCAAAATGTCTGGTAGGGGGCGCTGCGCAAATAATACAAGCTCGTCAGTGATGTTACAAAAATGTTCTCACAGATATTCATGCTAGGTCCACAAAACTAGAATGTCAGTACACGATAATAAAGCAATTGTTTACAATAAAATCTTACACAAGACGAAAGCTAATCCCTTCTAAGACAAGGTTATTTGTGGAGATTAAACTTTGGTACAACTTTATATAACTTAAGACGATGTATTTTAGAAATTCAATATCACTGGCTTGCCGCCAACTTAGCGAATGTTTTTTTTTTACATTCAAACTTCGGCTGCAGTTTTTGTTCGAGTACAGCCACGTTCTTTTGTTTCTTTTTAATTTTACGTTCTTGTAATGTTGCCTCCAACTTTTGTATTTTTTTTAATCTACACCATCTATTTTGATATTAGAAATATTCGGTATAATAACTTTGAAACTTTGAAATAATCTTTTATTTTTAAAATTATATATTACAACATAAGGAGTAAAAAAATAAATAATACATACCACTTTTCACACTTCTATATCAATCACATTTTCAAGCAATAATTTTGTAACACTTTATCAATGCACTGTCTAACATAAAGTTCATTCAGAACAAACTAAATCCAGACAAATAATAATAGAATTGTCTAACTCACACAAATAACTAATTCCAAATCTTACATATCTATTTTCAAACGTAACTCAATTTGAACCATATTCAGCAATCATTGTTATACAAACAAACTCTATAAACATTTATTATTTCAACTTAGAACACAAAAACAACTTAATAATTGGAATTAGAATTTAAGAAGAATAATTGTTTGAGAAAAAAATCCACAATCTTAAACATTGATGATTATTTGAACTTGTACAATTATTTAAGTTACTAATTCAGTTAATTTAATAATATTATATTACAATAAATTCCTTGTAATAAAGTTGTTTGATATAAACATAGGTGTGCCGCGCGGCCGGCGTTTGCTCTGACGAATGGTCGCCAAGTGTCAAGGGATACGATTCACCCTTAAGTGTACACCCCTGTCGTACAATTTACATGCTTCAGTCGTATATCATTTTCATTGTATGTTTCTTATAAAAATTACAGCTGTCCCCCGCGACTCAGTCCGTGCAGATTTAAAAAAATAATAATTAGTAAGTAGCCTATGGCCTAATCACCTTTAACTTAGGGTAGGCTCCGAGCCCCTCGGTGGGGATGTATAGTGAGCTGATGATGATGATGATGAAGTAGCCTATGTGTTCTTCCAGATTAATGCCAAATTTTACCTAGGTATATGCAGCGGTTCTGTAGGCACATTCTAACAAACATCCATCCGTCTATCCATCCAAACTTTCGTATTTGTAATATTATATTAGTAACCTGTGGCGTGCTGTTGTTTGCGTAATATATCGATGTTTTGCCTCTAGCCCAGGATTTAATTCAGTGAGCCGGAACGGCAGATAAAAAATATAGTTTGTCTTTTAACTATCTTTAAACCTAATAAAAGGCAATATCCGCTAGTGCTTCTGAATTAGCCTACACGCCACCTTTGTGCGTCATAATTCAGGCGTCACAAAAAGTGAAAAAGTTTGCTGGAGGACCATTTCACTTCTATCTAAATTTACATAAAAATAATTTGGTCCTATTAAATAGATCACATTTGACACATCAACAAAATACAGCTACAACAACCATGTTAGGTCTTAAAATGTTATTTATTTTGTGACGTCAAACTGCACAACCGCTTAAATTTTTCTAAATTTCGATTACATGTTTAATTGTAACATTATATAATAATAATGACAACATTAGGGATTTTACAAAAAATCGAATGAATGAAAAATAAGCTTGATATGTCCCAAGCGTAACTTCAATTAAAAATTATAGGTTTAAATAATAATATTTATCTCACTACACTCACTACTTTATTAAAAGCCATAAACATAGGTTATATTTAGCCTTTATTTAACGATACCCTGTTAGTATATTTAAGAAGATATTGGTTTATTTTAGGAAAAATCTGTAACGGAATGAACTGACTATAAGTAAAGTCTAGATGGTTCCATGTTGGACTTCTTACTTGGTAAGTTTCTAGAACATTAGGCAGTTGAGTGGTGAGCCACATCACGTCTTTTGGGTCTACTAAGTAATCGTTTCGGCCATAAAGAAATACAACAGGTATTGTGGTGCGATTGAGCGCATACAGAGGAGGCGCAGCGCTGCCGTAAATCTCAAGATTCTTGGCTGCTCCGTAATCATATTTATTAAACGTTGGAGCGTCGTTCTGAGAATAAAACACAATATTCCTTGCCGATGAACCAGCGGGCGTGTGACCATATAACACTCTTACAGTTTGAGTCAGAACGGAGAGTGGGTCGTAGGAATCGATCAGATCTAGTACAACTTTACAAATAGTAGCTGAAGCTGCGTAATCTCTGCACACATACGAGGCCAGTCGCTGAATAAATCCACCTTTAGGTAGAACTTCTAATTCAAAAGGACTCGTCAGCAACGGTAATATTAATTTGTAAAAATTCACCAACAGTCTTAGCGGTATCGACCTGGTGTATAGCAATCTTACAGCCGGTGCCATACCTATGAACAATTTTACTTTGCTGCAGTAGTCCGTTTCGGAGCACATAATAATAAGTAATCTAGCGCCTTGTGAATATCCCATGTAGATGACCTGATTAGAACTGGTTGTATTTAATATATAGTCGATGAAAGCAGGGATATCGTATTTACCCATTTCATTGCTTGTATGATTCCAAAACTCCGAATCTGTATCCGGATCGAGTCGTACATGTCTCCTTCCGTAATCAGTACCTCGTACATTTCCTATCCAAAGATCGTAACATGCATCGGGTAGCAGGTAGGCGAGACTGGCTAACGGACCGGCATCCGTCCAGGAATCCGAATTTACGAGGAATCCATGCATCAATAGAACTGGAGGCTGTCTCACAGAACCGATACAACGTTTGCCTTTCGGTATACGGAACATGGTTAGAATATATCCATCTTGTGTTGTGACAGTGTGCTCTTCGGATATGTATCCATATCTTGCTGTGATGGATATAAAATTTGACCTTGAGTCTTGTAGATTATCATCCAATGCCTTCTCAGGAGATGTTAAGTTCTGTTCTATTGTATATTTTGAAAATATTAAAATACAAAGAAGAGCGCCACCAATGTTGTTCCTTTTCGTATTCATTTTCCATACATTATGTGCTGTGACTTTACCTCTATTTAATATGCACGTGTTATCAAATGTCATTCTTAAGTAGGCTATTTAAAAACACTTGCAGCTATTCGTGTTGTAATTTCCGTTCCGTTAAAATATGACTCTTTATAATTTCATGAATGTTTAATTAAATTTAGTTGCCACTTTTTTTTAAAGAAGCATTGACGGAGATTTTTATTTTTTAAAATGTAAATAGGAAATCGAAAAACACAATGGTCCATAGCAGGATTCGAACCCCAGACCCGCTTATAACAAGTTAAGTGCTTAACCTCTTAGCCACCGACGTTCGATTTTTCAATATATCAAAGATATTTAATTTTTTATATATTGAAAGTATGAATCTATATTCAACAGTTTTGGTAAATTTTCTATGGTTAATTAAAACATAACATATGCTAACATCTCTGTCAACAACTAAATGATCGTAGATTCAAGTAAGTCCGAGCTTATGACGTTTTGTCTAATGGTCAGTCTAGTCTTTTCTTTTGTTCTTTCATTTGAACTATGTCTAGTAATTATTTCATAATAATACGTTTCCTTTAACTCAGCTTGTTAGAGTAAAAAAACTTTTGTCGACAAAGTCATTATAACTATTTTAAAAAATATACATTAAATCTAAAAGAAAATAGCTTGCAATATGACATAACATGTGATTGAAGCTGGCAACATTATCATTTCGCTGCACTTTTTTTGTCACTTACGTAATTCTGTTATCTGTAAATTAATTCAAAACTTGTTAACAAGTTCTGGTTATATTATAATTTGAATAGCAATTAACCGATATAAGAATTAATAGTTACAGCAGTTAGGCCTTTAGTACACAAGGCAAGGTAATTGAAAATAATATTGTATCTTTGAGTCGTATGTAGGGTTTCCAGGGCGGGTAACCCGGACATTGTTTATTTCGCCGGACACGCAATCAAAAAGCCTACTTATGTCTGGCTTTATCCGGACGCTTGGCAATGCTAGACGTGAGTATCGCATTGCGCGCTCTCCGGAACCAAAACGATGAATAGTCTAGATGAGTGGTCTATTGGGTCAGTACAAGCAGAGCGACGCCACATGACTGACTCTTATTTCCAAAGTGTGTAATATATTTGTTCCTCCATCAGAGTCGCGGAGACTTCTATGACGATCTTGACAAACAGATTGCGACTAGCTTTGATGACGACAGATAGAAGTGTCGACGACGCGTGTCTGTGTACGAACCTTTATTAACTCGGCAGGTTTCGAAAATTTACATTAAATTGTGCACGAAGGGTATTAGTCTAAATTGAAATGGTTACTGATAAGTCGTCATCAACTTACTTTGCTACTGTTGATGTTTCACTTTTTATATAACAATAGTTATTTCAACATCATCTTTTGGTCCTTTACAAAAGAGGTGGAGAATGTACAATAAATCGAGCTCTATCATACAAGTACCGTATTGTTTCCTTAGTGTCAACTATTCAAATACTTGCCATGTCGGATTAAACTGATCCTTTTACTTTTTAATTTGTAATCTCTAGTATTACTATCTCTATTAAAATCGTTTCGTATATATTTAAGTGTAACACATTCTCACAATTAAATTTTTAATGGTCATAAATATTAAAATGCACAAATATTTTATAATCAAATAACAAATTTGGTCGAGTGTGTAAACAGTCTGAAGTAACCAATAGTTCATGAAATGTTCCCACTACTACTGTATTTACTCAAGTATTGATTTATTTTAGGAAAGATCAGTTGCTTCGAGAATTGGCTGTAGTTGTTGTCCAAGTGATTCCAAGTGCTGCGGCTCACCTCGTACCTCTCCAATACGTTGGGCAGCTGATTGGACAGCCATCTAACATCCCGCGGGTCCACCAAAAAGTCGTTATTTCCATAAATCAAAACTATAGGCATCGTCGACTTTTTAAGGTTGTACAAGGGGGGGACAACACTACCATACAATTGCAAATTTTTCTTCAATCCATAGTCATACTTCTGAAACTTTTTCGAGATTGAACCCTGACCGTAAAACGCTAAGGTGTAAGCGGACGTCCCTGCCGGGAAGTGTCCAAACAGCGTGCGTATCGTGTCCGTCGTCACAGACCCCGGGTCGTAGGAATCTATGATAGCCAATATCGCTTGACAAACTGTACTCGCCAGATTGTAATCTTTGCATACAAAAGCGGTCGCAGTTTGAATCAGTCCGCCTTTTTGTAAGACCTCAAGTTGTCGAGGCTTTTTCAATATTGGTGAAACTAGAGCATAAAATTGTGTCAACAGTCGTATAGATATACTTCTTGTGTACTTTACTCTCACCGCCGGCGCCACATTTATAGCAATTCTTATTTTCTCCACGTACCCTGACGTCTCCGAGGCCATTGTAAACAGTATTCGACAACCTTGTGAAAAGCCTACATACATAATATCGTTGGAGTCTGTGTGCTCTAATACGTAGTCGATAGTCGCCGGGAGATCGTAGACACCCATCTCCTCGGTGTTAAAGTCCCAGAATTCAGAATCAGTGTCTGGATCGAGGTTGACATGTCGCCTTCCGTAGTAATTCCCACGCATGTTGCCAACCCACGTGTCGTAGCAAGCGTCGGCCAGAAGGAACGCCAGGCCCGACGATGGCCCGGCATCCAGCCAGGAATCGGCGCTCATCAGTAAGCCGTGCATCAGCAAAATGGGCGGTTCCTTCACTGATCCATTACAGTTTTTGCCTTTAGGTATACGAAACAAGAACAATATGTAGCCATCCTTGGTGATCACTACATGTTCTTCGGTGTAGTATCCATAGTTTCTCGTGAATTCCGTAAAATTTGAAAGCGAATCCTTGGAGTTGTACGTGAATAATTCATCCTGTAGTTGGAGCTGCGTGTCGTTGTGCTCGCAGGCGATGCGCCTGACCAGCAGGGCCAGGAGGAGCGCGCAGGCTAGGAGTACGCCGCCGCCCGCTGCCTCTCGCATTTTTTATAACATCGAGCCTATGTCGAGCTATTTAAATATCGTTACAGTTATCTATTAGCTTATCGTCACAGCAATTCAAATACTCAAAGTAGGTCGTCAATAAAAAGTAATTGTTTTTATAGATTTCCCTCGCTAGGATTATTTAAGACCTTTTAGATAAAGAAAGAATTCAACAAACTATCAGACTATGTACATGTTAAATGTAATTAATGTGATCATTTTTGATCTCAGTTCTAGCAACCTGTGTTTAAAATATTATAGTCTGAAAAACTTATCTGACCCGGTGGGCATAATTATAATCACATAACAAAAACACAGTCGCACAGAAGGCGTCTCAAATTCTAAATAAATCAACAAGGTCCCTGTCAGACTCAAACAGTAGCTATCATGGCATGTCTTGTCATAATTTTCTATGAAAACCTCAGTAAGTTTCACATACATTTTATAACAGTACTGACCGTGATAACAACATCTCTTCTACCTGACCAGCTAAGTTTATCCAACTATATGGCTTTGATAGTTCTCCATTGAATCATTGTAGATTTTAAAAAAATTCCACCCGCTTTGTGTGCTTACTATTAACACGCCCCCCTAATGTATACATCTCGTTATAAACTTACTAATCAACCGTTATTGTTTTAAATTCTCTAATAGTTGGTGCGGCAAATATTCACATTAATTCTGTTTTAATAGGGGCCATTCTATATTGAGGTATGGATTATTTTGGCGATTTCTACCTGTACTACGCCCATACAAAGATAAATAAAAAAATAAAGTTTGTTTATAATGATAATATATCTAATACAATTGGATTAAATATTACAAAAGTTCTCTTCTCCTTCCATTATAATAAAGCCGTATATTTAAAGATTTGATATTATATTTGTACAGGCGCAATATACATTTTAATTAGCCTAAAGTTCTAAGCGATACGAATTATGCTAAAATAAGATCTCTAATAATAGTTTTTATATTGAGAGTAGTAGAAGACAGGATTATTTTTTTTCCAAAAAGCGAGCTGGACAAGTTGCAAAGATTCCTAACAAGTTTTGTTACCAGTTTTTGTAATTAAAATCCGGTCAAAAAAATATTATTTTACCCTTTTTGCTACATATTGAAGTCAACGGAAATGTATGTAATCCGTCATTGTATAAAATTCCTAGGAAATGTGATATGTATACATTTCCCATGATATATGTTTTTTTTTAATATTATCAGATTTTTTGTAAATTTACTAATACTTCTTTTAACATCCCCACTAAGCTCTAGGCTTGTGCTAGGATATGGTTTACGACAGTCGAATGGCGGGATTCGAACCCCCGACCTCGTGATCGGAAATCCGTAGCATTAACCATTAGGCTATTGCCGGTTAAATTAAATAATATTTGAATTAACATTTTATAATTTTCCTAAATAGTTTCGGAATTCTATAAATTTCCTAGGAACTGTGTAAAGTCGTAGGTTTTAACATTCTTTAGCTAAATAATAATAAAATAAATATTATAAACTATAATCAATACGACCAACACAATTTGAATAAATAAATCCCGCAAAGAAACATCCAATAAATTTTATCAACTGACCTTTGCCTCTGTAACAATTCGCTTGAACACATACACATACATACTTTATACGGATTTGACACATGAGTGTCACTGACTTATTGTAAACTGTCTTAGTTTACAACTGATCAGTAACATTCATATACGTTACCTTTGATCTTTATCATTGCCGCTATGGCGTCGAGAGATTTTACACGCGTCCACTAACTCATTCGTGGTAAAACAATTTAACATAACCAGAATTTAAATCTTAATATTTTTATACCCAATTATATTGAAGTCAAGTGTATTTAAATGTGTGATATCAAACAATGTTGTGTGATTTAATGTCTCAATGAACAATTCTTGTTACAATGGGTTCAGAATTATTTTGGTGGATGTTATATTTGGTTATATTTACAATAATATTACAGAAAGCATTTGCTGGATTTAAAATATATATTAAGAACGCAAATAAAGTGAGTTCTTTGAATTTTACTGAAGCGACAGCATTTTATGGTTACTATACGGAAGAACATATCGTGGTGACCGAGGATGGGTATGTTTTGACAATGTTTAGAATACCTAAAGGTAAGAATTGTGATAAAGAAGTAAGAACACCTCCAGTTCTACTGATGCACGGGCTACTCGTAAGCTCTGACGCCTGGATAGACTCAGGTCCAGATGCTGGCCTGGCATACCTCATAGCGGATGAGTGTTACGATCTTTGGATCGGTAATGTCAGAGGTAATCATTACTCGAAAGAACATTTGAAATATAATCCAAAAAAAGATCCAGAATATTGGAACTTCACTCCGAATGAAATCGGAATTTATGATGCACCTGCTTTAATCGACTATGTTCTTAACAATACTGATTCGAAGACATTGAATTATATAGGTTATTCTCAGGGCGGGATGATGTTTGTCATAATGTGCTCGGAGAGACCGGGATACTGTGATAAAGTTGGTCAAGCCATTCTCTTGCATCCAGCTACAAGAATGAATTCTACTAAATCTGTAATGTTTAGAATGTTCACTAAGTACTATGATACTGTGCAGCCGTATATCAGTAGCGCATCAGAATTGGAAGCTCTCCCTCAAGGAGGCATCCTTCAGCAGCTCACCGACGTACTGTGTCGAAAAGATGTCCTCGCAGACACAATATGCAGGTCTATTTTGTACTTAATCGATTCGAGTCATCCAGGAGCTGTCAGTATCCCTACTCTACAAGCACTATCCAAACATTTTCCTGCCGGGACATCAGTGAAGGGAATGTCGTTTTACAATCAGCGTTTAAGTACTGACAGGTTTGAAAAATACGACCACGGTAGAGATATAAATTTAAAAGTATATGGCGTGGAGAAGCCTCCTGCATATAATATTAAGGCGGTCAATATACCAGTTGTAATAATTCACGGTGAAAGTGATCATCTGTCGTCTCCAGTAGACGTGCAATGGTTATCAACGCAACTGCCCAACTTAGTAGAATTGTATTATGTTCAGGATCCGCTGTGGAATCATCTCGATGTACTTTATAATCAACACCTTAAAGAAAAAATGTTTCCAAAGATAAAGGAGTATTTGTTTAAGAATAGCAGGAAGAGATTTTAACTAGATATGTATTTCTATTTTTAATTTTTGTTGGTGTCGTTGGTAACCTTAAACCATGACCAAAATGTCATGGACTTATAATTATGAATGCACGTTAATAAATAAAAACTAAACGTTGGCATTTGTTGTTTTTTTGTTATTTGCAATTTTTTTATGCACTTCTACTCCATCTTAACTTTAACAATGTCAAATACCGCATTCATTTGTTCCCGCAATTTCCCAAAAAGGAGTACAAAGTTTTCGCTTCCGTATTTATATTTCATTTGTGGATTCTTTAATGATATTGCCTTGATATGTTTCACAACGTTTGTTTTGTTACCTTGATACTTGTTAATTATAATATTTTTTTATGATTCACTTAGTTATGTTTTGAATTTTAAGCTTTTGTGAACAAGTTTTTCCTCTTATTTTTGGTTGAGTGCACGAATGGGTCGGGTCTATCGGTGAAATACCACGACCACACAGGATACCGGCACGTGGAAGTCATTTCGTGTACCGTCTAATTAAGTACGCATGCCGGAGGCCAAATTTTAGTCCACCTTCCCTTCCTATCCTTAACTTATGAGGAAATGCACGAATGGGGAATTGGGTTTTGTAGAGGAGGTGACGTACAAGTAGGGAAGATATCTGTTCGTCCCCTTCTTCGTCGATTGAAAGTCTGAATCTGCAATTGCTGATGTCTACGGGCAGCGGTCGTTTTGCTATATCGGCGAATTCACGGAGCCGCTTACACGTTTGCCACCCTATGATATAAAAAATCCTTCTGACTTTGTAACATTTTTCTAATGAACATTATCTAGTTCGACCTACAAGAACAGACCCACTAACCTGATGATTTTAGATAAGTTAATAGTATTCCCACACATTGGTATACTGCCAAATAACAATAAGAGTCGCCTTAATTTTTTCTATTATTACGGCAATTGACAAAAAAATCCTACAAAACTTTTTATAATATCCTCTTCTATATAAATACAAGTTTTAGTTTTTCATACACTTAGTAAATAAACGCGAAAAACCTAACCAGTATTCGGACAATAACATACGAACAACGAACGTTTAGTTTTTTCGTTCTGACACGCACTAAAATGGAAGTATCTGTATGTAATACCGAAAACAAAATTCTGTAAATCTAATGCTTTGTAGTTAGTTATCCTTCTAAAATATTTAGACCAGAAATTGATCCGACAATTCACTACTTTAACACTTCCAAGGCATATGTATGTAATCGTAACCTTAATTACTTGTAATAGAGTTTACAATTAGACAATTAGATAGGAATGTTCTTAAGTAGCATCCACTTATGTTGCGTTCAGTGCAACAATGTCACCCGTAACAAATGCAAGTTTAATACTGTATCTCTCTTTAGTTCTGTTTAAAAATGTTTTGGGAGACATAGAAGCAGGTGTAAGAAAGCCATTGAAATTCAATCTGAATTATCCATCGGAGCCATTGATAAACTTTACTGAATTGGCTACAACTCATGGCTACGTATCCGAGCAGCACACAGTTATAACCGAAGATGGCTACATCTTGACAATGTTTCGAATAACCAAAGGCAGGAACTGCAGACGACCCATAAAGAGACCTCCAGTTCTTCTAATGCACGGTCTCCTCATGAGCTCAGATTGCTTCCTGGATTCAGGTCCCAACGCCGGTCTAGCTTACTTAATATCAGACCTTTGCTACGACCTTTGGCTCCCCAATATACGAGGAAACTATTACTCGAGACGACACATCAAACTCGATCCTGATGTAGATCAAGATTTTTGGGATTTCAGCAACTTAGAATTTGGATATTACGACATCCCTGCCTCCATTGATTATATTTTGCATCATACAAAGTCCAAGAAACTGAACTACATTGGTTTCTCGCAGGGGGGCGGCAGTTTCCTCGTAATGAACTCTAAAAGACCGGAATACATGGAGAAAACTGGTGTGGCCATACTGCTTGAACCTGGGACCAGGCATACCTACACAAGGTCAAGGTTGTTCAGGCTACTCTGTGAAACTTATCTACTGTATTATCCTCTCCTTACTGATATTGGGGAATACGAGGCTTTACCCTTAGGTGGAATTGTTCAGAAACTAACTGCGTTTCTCTGCAAGGATTCAATCGCAGCGAGCTCAGGTTGCAGACTGGCCCTCGGGCTAATCGACGGCCCTCATCCCGGTTCCGTAGAGACGGAGACGATCAAGATGCTTTTCAATCATTTCCCTGCTGGGACATCGCTTAAGAATATTGTTTGGTATGGGCAAGCTGTAAACGTTGATACGTTTCAAAATTTCGATTACGGTGCTAGCAAAAACTTGCAAGTGTACGGCAGTGTACAACCTCCTGCATTTAATCTCAGTTTGGTGGAAGTGCCCATCGTAATCATCCACGGCAGGAACGACTTCTTTGCGTCTCCAGCGGACGTTGAGTGGATGGCCAGCAAATTGCCTAATCTCTTAGAACAGTTCTACGTGGAGGAACCACTATGGAATCATTTTGACGTGACTTACAGCCGGCTTACCAGTAAATACATATTACCCAAAATAAGTGAATATTTGAAGAAATATAGTAATTAAATTATATATAATATATAAATCAAATCAGCCTGAGTTTGTACTTACCGTCGCGTCGTTGACAGAAGTGCGTTATTAACATTCTAAAATACAACTAGTAATTGTTTTTCTTAAATAGAAAAATAACAAAAATAGAAAAACTTTGTATATCAGTATGTAGAGCAATTTATTCTATTATCCTATCTTGTTCACTATCAAATCATATTAATTATGCTAGACTTTCGAATTAAAGAAACTAGATAAACACGTATTTATTACCACTAATCTATCCGCAAATGCGCAATGATGTTCCCGTTGCCAAATACATGGTTTGCGCTTTTACTAGTCGTTCAAATATTACATAATGTTTGTTGTGATTTAAATATACAAAATGACATAAAAATTCTGATGGGATATCCGCCAGACTCACTTGACAATTTTACCGAATTAGCAACAAAGTATGGATACGTATCGGAAGAGCACACAGTAACGACTGAAGACGGCTACATATTGACTATGTTTAGAATAACCAAAGGAAAAAATTGTAACGGACCTATAAGGAAGCCTCCAGTAATTCTGATGCACGGACTGCTTATGAGCTCGGACTGCTTCCTGGACGCCGGGCAGGACGCGGGCCTCGCCTACCTCATATCAGATCTCTGTTACGACCTCTGGGTCCCCAATGTACGAGGGAACTACTACTCAAAACGACACATCGATCTCGACCCAGCAACAGATAACGAATTCTGGGATTTCTCCAATTTGGAGTTTGGATACTACGACGTACCCGCCTTCATTGACTATATCCTCAGTAAAACCAAGTCTAAGAAGCTCAACTATGTCGGATTCTCCCAGGGTTGCAGCTCCTTTTCTATAATGAACGCTGAAAGACAGGAGTACAACGACAAAATTGGAGTAGCGATCCTTATAGAGCCGAGCTCGAGGCAGACGAACATGAGGTCGCAGTTAACCAGACTGCTGTTTTCTACCGCCGCCACCTCCCTGCCCGCGCTAACCAGCGTCGGCCACTGCGAGGTGCTGTCCCTGGGTGGCATCGTCCAAGAGATTGCGGCCTTCCTCTGCAAGGATTACATAGCGGCGAACACTCTTTGCAGGGTCGTGATGTCATCAATCGACGCTTCTCACCCTGGCTCCGTGACGACGCAGACTATGCGCGTGCTCTTTGGTCATTTCCCCGCGGGCACGTCTACAAAAAACCTAGCTTGGTACGGCCAGGGTCTCAACACAAACACATTTCAGAATTTTGACTATGGCGTCGAGGAAAACTTGCAAATCTACGGGAGCGATCAACCTCCTCCTTACAATCTCAGTCAGGTGACGGTGCCCATTGTAATCATTAACGGGAACAATGACGGTCTGGCGACTCCTGCCGACGTCGACTGGCTGACCAGCAAGTTGCCAAACGTGTTGGAGCACTTCTTAGTACAGGATCCGCTATGGGATCACCTTGACGTGGTATATAGTCAATATACTAGGAAAAGTATATTACCTAAGATATCACAATATTTGCGAAGTTATAGCACATATACATAGAGATAATTATGTTACATCTTTTCTATTTTGTACCTTATTGGAATTGTGTCTTATAGTCTAGTCTTTAGTTATTATTGTATACGTATGCGTATAAACTATGCACGTAAAGGAACGCCGGCTGCGCCCGCCACTAGTTGCGACAATGACGTAAATAAATCAGGCTGCACTAAGCTAACTGTCGTATCATTGCTCCCCATATCTAACAATTAAATATATGAATGAACTTTTATTGACAGAAAATATATTACTAAAGTTGTTTGATATTAATAAAATCTTTAAAATGGCTAGATGTTTTGTTTTGATCACGGTAAAACGACAGTAGAATGAGGAATGCAATTGCAGATCTATGAGCTGCGCAATCTTCACTATTTCCGCGTATTCAGATGACCGCTTGCTTGTTTTTCGCCTTATGGTATAAAAATACCTAATTTCAAATAACAGCATAAGAGACGAAAATAAACTTTACTAAATTAAAGAAAACGATAAATCTTGTATTATTAGCCAGATATTTATAAAACAAAGCGTCACAATGACGTCGTTGGAATGAATAAGTAATGTTGCGTTTGCGCAGATGCTTTATATTGCAGTAGTGTTTTGTTGCAGAAATGTTTGTAAAACAGGAAATTGACGCCTTGACTTGCAAAGATTATGGCGGCCAGTGATGTCAGTGACAGATTACGTATGCGCCTTAAAAACTAATTTAAATTAAGCTGCAACCTGTCTTTTTTATATCTAATAATATTACTCGCGAAAAGCGACTTAATTAAACAATAAGATAGACATGTTTATAAATAACACAGCAACTGCATTCCGAGGCTATTGCACTAAAATGTTTTTAATTGGAAATCCGTGCGTCGTACTTTTTGTAGTTTTATTTCAAAATGTTTTCGGCGAAAGTCGTGAGGAGGCTGAGAAAGGTCTAAAACTAATTTTGGGATATCCTTTAGACGCGGTGTCCAACTTTACAGAAATGGCTATCGAACATGGATATGAGGCAGAACAGCATTTGGTTACAACTGAAGATGGTTACATCCTAACAATGTTCAGAATTAGTAAAGGCAAGAACTGCAAGGAGCCGATAAGGAAGCCTCCTGTCCTGCTGATGCACGGCCTGCTCATGAGCTCCGATAGTTTCATGGATTCGGGCCCTGATGCCGGGCTGGCCTACTTGATATCTGACTTGTGTTACGATCTCTGGGCACCAAACATCCGTGGAAATTACTATTCAAAGCAGCATATTAAACTCAATCCCTCAAAAGATCGCGAGTTCTGGGACTTTTCCAACTTCGAGTTTGGTTACTATGATATTCCAGCTTCTCTCAATTACATTTTAAGTTACACAAAGTCAGACAAGATCAATTATATTGGATATTCACAGGGCGGCAGCACTTTCTTTATTATGAACTCCGAAAGACCGGAGTACAATGATAAAATCGGCGTAGGAATACTTCTCGAGCCGGGCTCGAAACACACCTACACCAGGTCGCAACTTTTTAGATGGCTTGGTGACACCTATCAACTCGCCTTACCTACTCTGTATCAAGCTGGATTATATGAAGCTTTACCTTTAGGTGGATTCGTACAAGAAGCTGCATCTTTTCTGTGCAAAGACTACGCCCTCGCTGACTTCGCTTGTAAGGTCGCTCTAGGCTTGATAGATTCTTTTCATCCTGGTTCTATAAAAACTGAGACCGTCCGAGTGCTTTTCGGGCACTTCCCGGCGGGAACATCGGTTAAGAACATGGCGTGGTACGGTCAGGCATTGAACGTTGACGAGTTTCAGAATTTCGACTACGGGGCGACTGGGAATTTGCAACAGTACGGTACTTCCCAGCCTCCCGTGTTCAACCTTAGCCTTGTGGAAGTGCCGGTAGTAGTAATCCATGGCAGACATGATTACCTGACCTCACCAGCGGACGTCGAATGGGTGACAAGCAAACTGCCCAACGTGCTGGAGCAGTTCTATGTGGAGGATCCGATGTGGAATCACTTTGACATCACGTACAGTCAGTTCACTGGTAGATCAATTTTAGGCAAAATAAAGGAATATCTAGACGAGTTCAGTACATAACTTCATGTAATATTTCTGGTTTATAAATAAAGTTTGAAGTGTAACTATTTTTATTAATTTTTTCCTTAACATTAAACCATAGGTTAGCTGGAGTTCGTCATTAATAAATAGCAGTTACTCTAAATATATGAATGTATTCGATATTTTTTATATAATAATAAAATTGATTAAATATTTTAATGGGTAAACTTTGCTTTGAATTATCACAACAAGGGATGCTCTAATTTCTATGTGTAATTATTCTCAAATTACAATCATTTTATCTTTGTTCCTTGTTGTTAATTGGTAAGGATGGAGAAAAGCACATATAAATGTACAGTGGAATCCGCATTTAATGACATCGAAGGCAAACAGTTATAATAAGCGGACAAGACGAGATACTCGAAAAGAAATGTTTCTATTCTATTTATCTTACAGTTAGTTAATAATTTCATTAATTAAATGTGAATATTATTCAAACAAAGCGAACATTTGCGCCTTGTATATGTTTAGAGGCTGGATGGATGGATGGAGGTATCTATAGGACGGCTGCATGAATCTTGCTGAAGTTTGGCAGAGATGTAGAACATAGTATGTAAGAACACATACGCTACTAATTAAGTTTTTGAATTCCGAGCGGGTGGAGTCGCGGTCGACAGCTACGAGTAAAATAAGTTTAAATAAAAGAACTTTTAGTCAAATGAGATCTCGTACCCTTTTCTTACTTGGAAATGACGGAAAGGAGATGCGGATTCAGCGGAGGAGAGGACGGATAAGAACAGAAGCCATCACTTTCTGTGCGTCCCCCTCCTCTGTACATATATTAAAGATAGGCAACGCATCTGCAAACAAGGATCTCTATGGATGAATCAAGATGGAACATTGCTTGTTTGCCCCCTAAAGCCTCAAATGTCTTAAATATGATTTCTTTTAAAACAGCACGTTTAGTAAAAATAAGTTTCGTCATATCGCACGGTCGGAGTCGCGGACAAAAGTTAGTTAAACATAAATTATCAAATAACCAATAAACACCCAGCAACCTAGTTACAAATTCAATTAAAAACGTAAAGGAATAGAAAGAATATTTATTATTTAAATTTAAATAGAAAACCATGAACCATTTACATAAAGAAACATGAAATTGTAACCAATTTGTTTTCTAATCATTATCGTGTACACATGAAGTTATTAATGAGTATTCATTTGATGCATTTTGTGCAAACATAAAATGGAGTTTAAAATATGTCACGTCAGCTAGCCCGATATCTAAATGATTTATGGGGCTCGGCTATGTAAAGATTGTCTCACATAGTTTTGCTCAGGGATCCATTATATCAAAATGAATTTTACAATATATGCCTTTTAATATAAACCCTAATAAGTATATTTTAAATGAATCTAGAACCTAAACTAAGATGGAGATTTATTTTGTTACAGTCTAACTATTATCAATCATTAATATAGCCATCAAGAATTTTATTAAAAAATAGCAATGTCTTTTCATTCTCGTGTTTCTGCAGAAAGTCACGTTAGGCGTTTGTTAGTACAAAACAATTCATGTCACAAACTAGAATGTTCCTTTTCGAGAATTGTATAAATATGACATATTAGTCAAGCAACCCGCACTTGGCCAGCGTGGTTGACTATGGCCTAATCACCCTTAACTTAGGGTAGGCTCCGAGCCCCTCTGTGGGGACGTACAGTGAGCTGATGATGATGATGACATATTAACCCTCTTCTTATCATTTTCTCATATTCTTTACTTAGTAAAAGTATTAGTATACTCTTTCTACATTTAACATACATGTACGGAATACCTTTTTATATAAGTGTCCAATGTTACGTATGATTTAAAAATCACATTCCATTAAATTGCAAAGACAATTTAAATGTCACAAAATATAGCAACAATTAACCGAAGACATTGTAATAAAACATATAGATAATTAAAAAGTTTAAATACGCTCAGTTATGAAGTAAACAGACAGAAAAATGTTGCATAAAACAAAGGTTTTTGTTCTTTCTTTTCTAATTAACCAATATATACATCATGTTCACAGTGAAAATTATTTTATTAATGAACAAAGGAAAATTAAATTAGCTGAAGGTTACCCGTTAGATTCACTTCTAAATTTTACCGAGCTGACAGCTAAATATGGCTACCAATCAGAGGAACACACAGTTATTACAGAAGACGGTTACATATTAACAATATTTAGAATTGTTAAAGGCAAAAGATGTCTGGGACCAATAAGAAAACCGCCAGTTTTACTGATGCACGGCCTCTTGTTGAGCTCCGACTGCTGGCTGGATTCAGGTCCGGATTCAGGTCTGGCTTACTTAATATCCGATGCATGTTACGACCTCTGGGTTGGCAACGTCCGAGGAAACTACTACGGCAAGAGGCACGTCTCCCTCAATGTCACCGATATTGACTTTTGGCAATTCTCTGTTAATGAAATAGGTCAATACGATATGCCGGCTACTATAGATTACATCCTTAAATATACGTCTTCAAAGAAATTAAACTATGTGGGATATTCTCAAGGCGGCAGTACTTTTTTCATAATGTGTTCGGAGAGAGAAGGTTACTGTGACAAAGTAGGGGTATTTATTGGCTTGGAGCCTGATTCGAGAAACACGTACACGAAATCGATATTTTGCAGAATTGCTGCTGAATTATACCAAGACTTTCAGCCTATGTTGAACGAAATCGGCCTCTACGAAGCGGTGCCGTGGGGCGGCGTGGTTCAGCAAATCGCGGCCTTTTTGTGTAAAGACTATGTGATCGCGGATACGTTTTGCAGAGGTGTGATGTATATAATCGATTCCCCGCATCCAGATTCCGTTGAGACTGAAACCATCCGCGTGCTCGTCGGCCATTTCCCCGCGGGAACATCGGTGAAAAACATAGTCTGGTACACTCAATCTTTGCATGTAGATGTTTTTCAGAATTACGACTATGGGAGCGCCGGGAATATGGAAATATACAATTCTACTAAACCTCCCGCTTACAATTTGACTGCCACGACCACTCCTGTGGTGGTAATGAATGGTAGGAACGACTACCTCACCGTTCCCCCTGACGAGGAATGGCTTACGAGCCATCTGCCCAACGTCATTGAGCATTATATAGTGGAGGATCCTCTCTGGAATCACGTCGACGTACCTTACAGCAAGTTAACGAGCAAAAACATTTTACCAAAAATATTACAGTATCTAAATGAATACAGCGAACTCGTATAACCCTGTATCTAGTTTTATTAAAATCACTAAAGCATATTGTTCGAGAAAGTATACATTTTAACTTTCTGTTTATATTGTAACTTTGACATTTCTTTTATTTCTATTGATCTCAATTAAAGTATAATAAATACATTGTTGTTTTCTTATCGCGATCGTGACATTTCGCCGAAGAAATTATGTCATAGTCAACCGACCCTCGCTAGGCCAACGTGGTTAACTATGATCTAGTCACCCCTAAATTAGATAGTATCTGATCCCCTCGGTGGGGTCGTATGATGACGACAAAGTATTTGTTTTTATTTTAATATTGTACAAAATTAAGTTACAATAAAATTAACTCCTTCCGAAAATGTATGAGCAAATATTTATAAAATAAAATATTAATACTTTCGATGGCTTGGCCAGGCGTCTTCGTGTCACTAAAGATAAATTAATAAAATCAAAACTGAGATTATCATCTCATTTTCCACTTAAAATGTCAAAGTAATGAGAACTAAAAATACCTTCAAAGTTAATGCAAATTAAATCTATATTAATATTAGCTATGACTTTCTGACGAGTAAAAAAATCTTTCCCCCTTATCCCAGTCTATGTGGGGGCTCACTAGGTTGCCCTCCAGACCGATATTTCTTTCATTTTAGTCACTACCTTCTTTATGATGTATATTTTTAATAATCCATTCATGCCTACCTAAGCCTACCTCTAACGATGTGTCGGTAGAGTTAGGCTAAAGTTATAAAATCATTACATTGAGTAAAAAAGTCGAGGAAAACATCGTTTTTTATTTCTCGACTGTACTTCTCGTTAAGAAATTTATTAAAAAAAACTTTTAAAAAATCTTGACAACATATCAAATTACATTAATAAAAATCTATTAAGCAAAGGGACAAAGAACGTTAAATAAATGGTATTTCATTAAATATATGTGTTTTTCTTGTAAACATATAGCATGTATATGTAGGTCTGATAACTAGAAGACATTTACATTGTCTTGCCGTGGAATTTTATGAATAATGGTACAAAAAAACCTCGCATTTAAACATACGTTTGATTACTTTATTTTATAAAATACTTTATATTAAAATTAAAAATACATATTTAACGTGAATTATATATTTCTTGCAAGGTTAATACTTTTTATGGTTAATGTTTTTATAAGTTAGTGCACACTCGAAGGTTCAAGCAGCATACTGAGGTATTTACGAGAGTTCTGAGTTTTATTATTTCAAAAAAGATTTGTTTTTTTATTTACCTTATATATTACGATCTTCTAAAGAAGTGTAAAATAACTAAAATATTTACGAGTAAATAAAATTTATTAAAACTTTGATATATTAACTAAAATGGATGAACCGATTTGGCTGATAAGGAGGGGAGGTAACTTTGAATCAGGAGACGGACATTGGCTTCATATCCCGTTTTCTTGTTTTCAGGGTTCCGTATCTCGAAAGATAAAAAAAGCCAAACTTTATAGGAAAACTTTGTTGTCCGTCCCTCTGCCTGTCAAGACCCTTTTATTAATTCCGCACGGACGAAGTAGCTGGCAAAGGCTAGTTATAAATATGTACACATGTAAAGAGTCAAGATTCAAGTTCAGTGGCGCGACAACTGTCTCAAGACATAAAGTTCAAAGACATACACACAATAACAAAAACAAGTAATTGATAAAGACATATATTTATATTTTATAATGAAATGAATACAACGTATGTAGATATGTACGCTGTCATTAAACAGAGTTGCAATATTATTTATAAAAATATCCAAATGTTATGTAAAATATGCTTCGATATGCATTTTATCAGAAAAAAATTATAAAAAAACTATACTATATAACTCGTCAGTGATAGTCTGTGTCCGAGTCGTGATGAGCACTCATTATAAAAGTCTGCTTAGTTTACATGAACGAGAAGCAGCAGGTCATCATTGTTGCTGCAAGCACACACCAAACAAAAAGGACAAACACAAATTCCATTAAACAAAATTAACACGAAACAAAAAGTATCAAACTGGTCTGTTTAACGTCATAAAAGTATAAAACGATACTTAAAAAGGTGCTAAGTAGTGATGTACAGATAGAAATTAAAGCTTATCGATGTTTTCATTCAATAATGATCATTGTTTCTCACATAGAATAGAATTCATTATTTAGAAGTTGATGTAAAATGTTAAACAAACTAAATTTATGATTTAAATAAAATACTACAACGCCCTTATCTTATAAGGAAAGGATGTGAAGGGGAAGGGGATTTGACGGAGGAGGGAATGCATTCAAAGGGGCAGTATTCTCTTTCCGTGCGTCTCCTTCTCTGTCGATTAAAAGTAGACAATGCATTCGCGATTGCGGATGTCCATGGCAGTGGTCGCTTCACCTTTTCGGCGAACTCAGTTGTCCGCTTCCTCGTTTACCACATTATAATAAAGTATTTAAAAAAAAACATAACAAGTAATAAACAAAAACAAATATTATTCTATATTTAAATTAAAACATGGTATCGATAAAATCGATAAATTTAAATCACAACCCTTGTTGCATTATCTTTTTCTGTTTATTTATTTTTTCAAGTAAATATTTTTATCTAGTTTGGCTGCGCTACGTGGCGTCGATATAAGTTTCCCGCGGCTTTGTTCATTCCCTTTGTACGAATTAAATAAATCCCAATGAGTAATCCTGACGGAGTAGGCAGAGGTGGTGACAAATTAAGCTATGAGAAACTTCAATTTATCTTATTTTATTATAAGGGATAGGACAAGGTTAATATGTAGAGACAGGTTTTTATTTAATGAACAATCTTAAAACGCGATCGGTTTTTGTGTAGCGATATCCGATACAAGCAAGCGCCGATTCCGCAGTCAGTCGACAGCATGGCGTCCCGTGGCGCGGTGACTACAAGCGTGATGCTCTGTGTGTGCCTCGTGTGTGTGGGGCATGTGCTGCGGCTGCCCGCGCGTCTACTCAACGACGACACAAAGCGTGCGCTCGGCTACCCCCCGGACTCCCTGCTCAACTTCACCGAACGTAGCACGCGCTACGGCTACCCGGCTGAGGAGCACCGCCTCTTCACGCAGGACGGGTACATCCTGACCATGTTCCGCATGGCCGGCGCCAAGGAGGGCGGTGTCGCCCGGGCGCCCCCCGTCATCCTGATGCATGGCCTGTTGCAGAGCGCTGACGCGTGGCTAGACGCTGGCCCGAGTGCCGGGCTCGCCTACCTCATAGCGGATGCCGGTTACGACCTCTGGCTGGGCAACGTGCGCGGCAACTACTACTCCCGCGACCACGTCCACATGCGTCCCGATACAGACCCCCAATACTGGAACTTCTCTGTTGATGAGATAGGTCTGTACGACGTGCCCGCCACAATAGACTACGTATTGAACTACACGAAGGCAGATAAAGTGATTTATTTAGGATTTTCTCAGGGTGCGGGGGCGTATTTCATCATGTGCTCCGAAAGACCGGAATATTGTAACAAAGCAAAATTACTGATAACTTTAGCGCCGGCCGCTCGGCAGACTAACACTAAATCGGTCCCGTACAGGACACTCACTCAAAGTATGAACAAACTGGAAAGCGTTTTGGCGACCTCTGGCATCCAGGAGGTGTTTACTAAAGGTGCACTAAGCCAAGAATTTCTCGCGTTTTTTTGTCCCCTCAGTTGGATTTCCCAATTAATTTGCGCCAAGGGTGAAGCTCTGTTCGACTCGTTCCATCCGGGCTCGATCAGCAACGAGACGCTGCGAGTTTTGTTCGGACACTTTCCTGCGGGAACTTCTGTGCACAACTTGGCCCGATACGGTCAGAGTATGCAGAGCGAGAGATTTGAAAAATTTGACTATGGTAAGTCGAAAAATTTGGAGTTGTATGGAAGTCTTCGACCTCCGGAATACAACCTGAGTGCAGTGACAGTGCCCGTGACAGTTCTGTACGGGGAGAGCGACCACTTGGTGGACACGGAGGACATCGCGTGGCTGCTGCGCCGGCTTCCCAATGTGGTCGAGGCGGTCAAAGTGAGTGATCCCCTCTGGAACCACTTGGATGTTACCTACAGTAGTTTGACTAAACAAACAATTTTTCCTAAAATTAGTGACTATTTGTTGCAATACAGTGATAACTGACAGCTACGTGATACTAAAGTTATTTAAGTACATATTTATGTTTGTTTAATATTTGGACTAAATTGTTAATATGCGGCTTTGTATTTAAATCTATTATTTTACTTATATTTTTATTTATTATAAAACTTTATAAAATTAACTCTTATTTTAGTTGGAAATAAAACTGGTTAAAACCCTGTGATCAAGTCAAACTGTAAGACAATACAAGGACTTGCAAAAAATCATACACAGAGACCAAAAAAATACCATACATTTAGATATAAAACCTCTATAAAATTCTTCCTTGTTTAAAAAAAATCGTATTATTTTTTCATTGAATATATTTTCCACTTTAATTAAAGTAATTCAGTTAAGTTGGCAAGTTAAGTACAAGTTCATTGTGAGGTCGAGTTCAAGATCAGGCGTCCGAACTTGTTTCTGTTACATAACATCACAACGTTATAATTATGTTGCATTTGAATCGCAACTAACACACATAAAATAAATCAATGTAAAGTTATTATATATTATATGATATAATCAAATACGTAAACTTTATGAGAAAATACAAAAAGAACACCCTTTATTCCGAAAATAATTTCTACGCGAGGAATAATGTTCCCTGTATCAGAAATCACATGAATATACTGATGGATACTATGGAAACAATATACGCTTTTTATAATAACAAATTGCACATAATTTTACATAGCCTTAAGTTTATTTATTAATAATTAAATAGATGTTTTAAATTCAAAATAATTTTATTATATAAATTAGCAATACACGTAATAGAAACGTCACATCCTGTAACCCATGTTAATCTATAGTTTAGTATTTTATTACATGGAGTAGGAATTAATATTTAATATAAAAAACTATAAATTATAATATAAGACATAAAGGTCATCAATAAATAATAAATTATTGCAAGAATCCAAAAAAAAAATAAGTGATCAGTTCGTTTTAGATGTAAATTAATTTCCATATAAATAAATGGTCGTCTTCCGGATATTATTATTATATTTCATCATCATCAGCTCACTGCATGTCCCCACCGAGGGGCTCGGAGCCTACCCTAAGTTAAGGGTGATTAGGCCATAGTCAACCACGCTGGCCAAGTGCGGGTTGGTTGACTTCACACATATCTTTGAATTTCTTCTCAGATATGTGCAGGTTGCATCACGATGTTTTCCTTCACCGTAAGAACGTCGGATAAATGTACATATGTAAATCGGAAATCGAAAAACACATTGGTACATGGCGGGATTCGAACCCAGGACCTGCAGATTGCAAGTCAAGTGCTTGACCACTGAGCCACCGACGCTCTTATTATTATATTTATGTTTTATTATAATTAAAGTTTATTTATGTTTTATGCAGAGTTCGGTCTTAGAAACCCACGGTAAGTTTTCTATACATATCAAAAATATATAGAGATAAAATGATTTTAACTTTTAAAACAACACAACAATTGAATCAGTGTCAAAAAGACTATTTTTATTTATTTATTAAAATTAATAGAATCCAACTTGGCAGCAGATTACCAAGATAATATGAATATAGTGATATTAGCTACAAGTTACACAATTTGTCAATGGTATAGTGCGTCCATTGAGCAATAATAATGTTGTAACTATCAACTGCAGAGAGAAGCCGGAAATGAAATAGTCGTACTAAATAGATAATTCATAAACTTTTACACTATGTTCTTTAGTAAACTAATTGTGGAATACAAATGACTTTTTCAACAGTGGAGAGACAGATAACATACAAACAAGGTTACCAGAGAAAGGTTACTCGTCAAGTCGACTCAATTGTGCTCTAACTCGATGAAGTTATGTCGTTCCAATGGCCACCTTCTAGCTACATCATCAGATCAACACGATGTCATTATAATATTGTACGCGATTTATACAGATATGCAATAATTTGAGCTCAATCTGCAGCCGGGTAGCGCATCTTTAATTTGTAAGATTTGTTGACAAACATCGGAACAGTTGAAACCAAAATAAAAGAGACTCTGTTCGCGTTGAATTAATAACAAAAAAATAGCCAATGAGTTCTTCCAGACTATGTCTTATTTCTATGCCAAATTTCATCGAGATCCGTTGAGCTGATCTGCACAAACCTTCTAACGAACATCCATCCATCCATGCATCCATTCATCCTAACATTCGCATTTATAATATTAGTAAGATAGCAATGTAAAAATGCTTTCAAAAGACTGTTTTGAGAAAATCGAATCGTCTTAGTCGGAAGGTCGTATTATTTCTGTGTCACCAAAAGCGGAAGTTTTTGTTAACTTGATAAAAACCTTCGCTAAGGTCGGACCTTATATGGCTTACTACTGGGGATTTACGTAAATTGTAATAAATGTCTGAATTGTGTCTGATCTGTCCTTGTCGCACTTATTAAGAAAGTTTACGTGTCTCGCTCATTAACATCAAAATGTGTCAGAGTAATTCAACAATAGCTGAGAGCGCAACTTCGTAGGAGAAAAAATAAAAAGGTAGTCTATAATGATGCCCGCGTGCATCAACTAAAATCCGGTCAAAGTCTTCTCAACATCGGTCCAGCCGTTTCTAAGATTCACCATCATCATCAGCTCACGTCCCCACCGAGGGGCTCGGAGCCTACCCTAAGTTAAGGGTGATTAGGCCATAGTCAACCACGCTGGTCAAGTGCGGGTTGGTTGACTTCACACATATCTTTGAATTACTTCTAAGATTACCTGGAACAAATGAGGAGGTGCAGACAAATTTTAGAAATTGGTTTTTCGTTATCAATGACTTTGACTTTTAACCAACTAGATGTCGTTGGAGATTTCGTCCGCGCGGAATTAACAAAACTTAGTAGTCTGTGTGTTCTTCCAGACTATGTACAACATCCATTGAGCCCTTCTGCAGATACCTTATAGCAAAAATCTATCCATCCATCCATCTAAACATTCGCATTTATAATACTAGTAAGAAGTAAGATATTATTATAAACAAGTTGCAATAACAACAAGTCTGAAGTTATAGCGCGTCACTGAACTTGAAGTAATGCCTTAAGCGGCGCGCTGATGTCACGTGACCTTACATCTTTATTACTTATTAAGTATAGCCATTTGATAATGTCGCAGAGATAAACTTCACCAGATATCCATTTAGGAAAATATATTTTACAACATATTCTCTCATTTATTACATAAATAATTTTAATCTAAACACTAAAATGTTAACGTTTTAATACAATGATTTGTCATAAATTTATGTTTATTTTAAAGTTTGTCGAAATCCAACTACACTATAGTTATTCTGTACATCGTCCTGTCTGTTCACTGTATCGTGTAAATAATGGAAAGTACTCTAATAAAATAGTCAATCGTTACTATATTTAAGTAAATAATTATTAATTTTAGGAAAAATGCTATGGTTTGTCAAGTGACTGTAGGTGACGTCAAGGTGGTTCCACAGCGGGTCACTCACTCTGACGGCCTCCATTACATTGGGCAGCCGCTCCAACAACCAACTCACATCTCTCTCGTCAACTAAGCGGTCGTTCTTGCCGTAGATAACCACCGCCGGCGCACTCACTGCACTCAGATTGTAAGATGGAGGTTCATGTGATCCGTATAATTTAATATTTTTAAAACTACCATAATCGAACTTTTGAAATCTATCACTATTCATACTCTGCCCATACCGAGCCATATTCTGGGTCGACGTCCCAGCTGGGAAATGTCCGAAAAGCACTTTCAAAGTCTCCTTTCGTATCGAACCCGGATGAAACGAATCAAACATCGCCTCGGCGGTGCCGCAAACTAATTCCGAAATCCAATGGAATTGACAGAAAAATGCGAGGAACTCTTGACTGAGCGCACCTTTAGAGAACACTTCCTGCATACCACACAGATTTAGTACGTACTCCATGGAGTTAATGGTCTTCGCTAAAACTTTATAAGGCAAAGATTTAGTGTTTGTGTGTCGAGCGGCCGGCGCTAAGGCGATGAGAAGCCCCACTTTATCACAATACTCCGGTCTTTCGGAACACATGATGAAGAATGTTCCTGCGCCTTGGGAAAATCCAATGTAATTCACCTTATCCGCCTTGGTGTAGTTCAATACGTAGTCTATTGTGGCGGGCACGTCGTAGAGACCTATCTCATCAACAGAAAAGTCCCAGTATTGGCGGTCTGTATCTGGACGTAGGTGGACGTGGTCGCGGGAGTAGTAGTTGCCGCGCACGTTGCCCAGCCAGAGGTCGTGGCCGGCGTCCGCTATGAGGTACGCGAGGCCTGCGCCCGGGCCAGCGTCCAACCACGCGTCAGCGCTCTGCAGCAGACCGTGCATCAGGATGACGGGTGGCTCCCTGGAGATGCTACCCCCCTTGGCTCCAGCCATCCGGAACAAAGTCAGGATATACCCGTCCTGCGTGTGCAAGCGGTGCTCCTCGGCCGGGTAGCCGTACCGTGCGCAGCGCTCGGTGAAGTTGAGCAGGGAGTCCGGGGGATAGCCGAGTTCACGCTTGGTGTCGTCGCTGAGCAGACGTGTGGGCAGCCGCAGCACGTGTCCCACGCACAGGATGCACAAGCCGACCACAGCACTGTTAGTCACCGCGCTTCGGGACGCCATGCTGTCGACTGATTGCAGCCAGACCGGAATGGCCAGCGCCGTTACATAAACTTCGATTGCGTTTGTTTGTTCATGCGTAAGGCAATTATTTTCACGCGATATTGGAAATTTTACTGAAACGTGAACATGTTGAAGGTTGCACCGTTATACTGTAATGGGAAAAGTAAACATTGAAGTCGCATGTCATGGTGCCGCATTACAATATCATTTGCGTAGTGCTGGAAAAAAGTTGTGATAAAATTCTACTTAGCAATACGTTCTTGTGACAATTGTCTAGATTTGTATTTACTTTCACTACTGTTTTATTTTAAATACTTGATGATGAACACAAATTTATATACCTCTCTGCATCAATAGAATAAAATAGCGTGAGTGCCTTTTTCTGAATGAGCGATAAAGTCTAACTGGAACAGTTATTGTTGTCTTAATTGCATTTATTATAGAAGTAAAGCAATCTATATCTGTTGTGTCACTATCGTTAACAATGCTTAACCTCGAATCGCAAAGTGAAATAATTTTTTATAAGGTCAAAATCACACTTTCGTGACTTAATTAAATATTAAAAGGTTTATTATAGCTTTATGAGTTCAAAACCTCTGTATAAAACATACCGACATCCCTGTTAAAAACGGAGATAACAATATGTTGATATGTTTTAAACAAAGATTTTTATCTCAGAAACCCACAGTATTCGAATAATAAAATCATATTGGTTAAGTTAATCGATACCGGAACTTATTGTTTCACCCAATGTTGTTCACCGTGCTCAAGTAAACACTCAAACCAGTTTCCGGTAGCATTTCTTATTCAAATAAGAAAACCTTCAGTAGGGTCGACCTTTAATTTTTTTAATACTAAAATATATTTTGTATGGAAAATTTACTTAAATTAATTAAGTACGAGGTTAGTCCAGAATAATCTGAAAGGTAACAATTCGATTGTCAGCATATCAATATTTTAACTAAGACCTAAGTAACCTAAGTACCTTCATAAAAGTCAAATAGGAAACCGCAGTACTAAGTACATAGTGGCTTATATTTTCTAACATCTTACTTTTCGTTAAAGAAATAAACTACCTACATCATAGATTAAAGGACTACAACCTAGGAAAAACTCACTCTCTCATCTAATACGCTTTCAGGCTAACTATATCAATTATTTTTCTGCTCAGATTCTTTACTTTAAATGAGAATGGAATAAAATTAGTCAAGAAAACCGTAACTAAAGTGTAACTTTGACTTAAGCATCTCAAATAGCAAATGAACCAATGTCTTCTTTGTCATCTTTAAACATTTTTCAAATTTGGTAGCTTACACGCATGCGATGCATTTCCTCCCGCATTTCCTTAAACTGCTCGCGTCATAATGTGTTGTATTTAATTCTATATAAACGATTACATTCTTAAAACGTTTTAAAAGCATTAAGAGATATAACAAAAGGCACGAGAGCTCAAGAGATCTCGAGAATTTAATACGAAATGCAATTGCTCTTGGACGAGATCCAAGTGCGCGGGAATTCCGACTTCGACTTATATCGACGTGTTTTCTTTGCCCTCCCCCCCTTCCCTTCCCCACATTAGTCATTTCAAACATTACTCGTATGTCGGGAACTTATTAAATTGAAATGTCTCACTCTTCACAATTTCTACATCATTGTCATCTGTCTTTATAAGCCCATAGTTTACTGTCAAATTTGAACGGCAATTTAAGTTTAAAATTAATATAATTCTCTCCAGGCGCTTCTTCTCTCTTTTTAAAATATTTTTTTCAATACATAATTGCTATTAATTTTTTAACAGGCTCGCAATAGCCTATAAAAATATAAAAGCAAATTTTATAATTATACTAATTGCTCATTAGTATTCGATGAAAACCTATATTTACAAAGAATGAAGCAGGACAAACAACAGTAGTGATTGTGTTGACAAGTGGCCTTTACAAAATATTCTGATATTATAAAAACATACGTCTACGCATACATGCACGTCGGTTTCGGGTTCTCTTAATAAAGCCCTATTGAGTATTTTCTGAAGCAGGACTGTAAAAGTTCATCTGGGACGATCCCGACCGACATTTCCGCTCACTTTCGCGTCATAAATCGTTGTTAATCTCTTTAATATTGATAATTTTATTCTGTTTCATTTATGTATTATTAGTAAGATTATATCACTGTTTCCTTGATAATTTTTTACCTACGACGCGCTGATATGGTGGCTACGTCCTTGTTGTGTTATTATTACATCTTTGGGACTAATCTTTTATAATTTTTTGTAGTTATAACGACAACGCTAATTTAAAAAAACCTGTTCTCCGTTTTCTTCTTAATAAGAACAAAAAATTCAATAATTTAGTGGCCAGTTGTTAAAAAATTACTTGCAAATTCATCCAGTGAATATTTTTATAAACTTTCAATCTATTTTCTTTGAAGAATAAAATTATAATCTAAGCTCTAAAGTGTTTTGTATCATACTTCAAAATAATGGAAAAATCTAACAACATAACAAATATATTCATAACATTAAGAGATTCGGCAATGAACTTTATAAAAACACAACACTTCCAATAAAAAAATACGCAACAGCTAATATATATCTCTAAGGTTCACAATCGCTTGACTGTCATTGAAAATTTGACGTCGTACGCTCGGATTGTTATTATAGATCGACTTCACTGTACTTCGCCAAGTATTGTAAAACCTTCGGCAGCACTAGCTTCCTGATATGCTGACTGTACATGAAGTCCAGGTGGTTCCACATGGGGTCGTCGACCTCCGCCCGCTCTAATACGTTGGGCAGGCTATTCGCCAGCCACCGCACGTCCGCGGGGTCCACCAGGCGGTCGTTGTTGCCGTGCAGTATGTATGTGGGGACGTGAACTGCGCTAAGGTTGTGGAATGGCGCAGTCGGTGTACCGTACACTTTAATGTTGTTTGTCTCTCCATAGTCGTACTTCCTGTAGCCCTCGCTGTACAGCGCCTGGCCGTAGCGCGCCATCGTCCTCACCGACGTGCCCGCGGGGAAGTGGCCGTACAGCACTCTTAGCGTCTTCGGTTTTATAGACCCTGCATGATATGAATCCAATATCGCTATGCATCTCTTGCAAACAAAGTTCCTAAAAATATTATATTTACAGAGGAATGACAGAACCTTTTGTCCGAAGCCGCCCAGAGAAAACACTTCCTTGACACCGATAGCGCTTAACAAGCTTTCGTACGTATTGAGCTGACTCCCGGTAAGTTTAAGCAAAAGCGATTTGGTGTGCCTCAGCCTAGTGGCGGGGGCGAGCGCGATGAGCGAGCGCGCCTTGCCACAGTGCTCCGGCCGCTCCGAGCACATAATTAGGAATGTGCCGGCACCCTGTGAAAATCCTATATAATTCACTTGACTCGCACCAGTTTGATTCAGCACGTAGTCTATTGTAGCCGGTACATCGTACAGGCCCATTTCGTCCGTGGAGAAATCCCAAAACTCGGAATCTTTTTGTGGATCTAGCGTCGTATGTCTCTTGCCATAGTGGTTGCCTCGCACGTTACCCAGCCAGAGGTCGAAGTGTGCATCGGCGAGAAGATAGGCGAGCGCGGCGTGGGGCCCTGCGTCCAGCCACGTGTCGGAGCTCATAAGTAGGCCGTGCATCATGACGACAGGCGGCCGGCGTAATGCTCCTGGAGGCTTCTTCCCGCTGCGCAAGTGGAACACGGTGAGGACGTACCCATCCTCCGTAGTGACCGTATGCTCCTCGGTGATGTACCCGCGATTAGTACTTCGAGTTGTAAAGTTGAGGTACGAATCTTTAGGGTATCGTAAATAAGACTTGGCATCATTGCTGAGTTCCGCAGGTAGCAGGAACAGTGTGGCCCCGAGCAGCAGCAGCGAGGTAGTCCAAATGAGTTTGCTGACGACCTGCGCACGCAGCGCCATCACTACGACTGACGTCTAATGACCAATTAACGGAAACATATTCTAATATTTTTTTATTATTTTGATAACTTTGATTTATATCATCTCGTCTCCTTCAAAATAATATTATCAATAAATAACTTCAAATTATTATCGAAATTACACGATTTTCATTTTACATTACGTTTTATTTTATTTATTTTTTTAGGCAAAAAATTTTAGGACACAAACCAATAAAAATATGTTAATCGTTTCGGAACGAAAATACCTACTTTTTTATGTAGATAAATAAACCAGTTTCACGGATTTTTTTTTCTATTTTATCGCGTATTGGTTTTAATTTTCTTTTTGGTATTGGCGATAAAAATGAAATTTTGATAAATAGAGGGAAAATTACTTCTTTAGAAAAAGAAAATATTTTATTATATCGTCAACACTTTTGTGTACTTACGTGTATTTTTACGTTCTTTACGCTCTTACCTGCAACAAAAATAATATATATATTTTTAATATTTCACAACTTTTAAATGCATTAAAATCACAAGAATAGTAACAAGCGAGCGAATCGCAATAACATTGCGGTTCGCTGGTTTCGAGGATACGTTATTTAAATTAAAATAAAATATAGTTATAATTTAATTTCATTTGAATCATACTATGTCCTGTTCGGCTGGAATTCTAATTTAATATGTGTAACGTATCTTACTGTACACAAATATTACTTTGTTTCTGAGACTCAAATCCCCGTTTAAAACATATCGTCATCCATCTCGTTATATTTGACAAAACAGCGATAACAATATGTTTTATACAGCCACATTGGTCTCAGAAACCTACGATAAGTAGTACGACGCTATTCAGAATAATCTCAGTGAGTTATCGCACTTGCTCGCGACAGCATACGTTGATTGAGTATTATTTGAGTGAAAAACTATAAATTAAGAATTATTTTTAATATAAAAAATCACTTTTTGTTAATTAAGTAACCGTCGTTAAGCCTCCAGGAGTTCGCTATGGAGTACATTAAAACCCACGTATGCTATAATACATTAAAATTTTCTTTGTAAATATAATAGAAACGAGTCGTTTATGTTGATAACAATGGAGGTGTACAAATGGGCGCTGTATCGCCACTGAATAGTGTTTCCTGATTCATTAGCAAAGATATTATGCGATGTAGAAGACCGCTTGACCTAGTTGCCGGGGGGATCGATGCGGGGTCATTGACCGCGTCGCTCTCATGGCGCACGATACAACATACCAAATATTTATTAGAAAAACATGTTAAACATATTCTATAATAATAAAAATATATACTTAAAATTATAAACTAGAAAATTAGGCAAATGTTATTCTTTCGTTTAACACTCTCCTCCTTCGCTACCTCGGCCTACATCATATTTAATTGATTTATTAAAAACAAAATTAACCAAGCGACCACTTTTACCTCTATAAACTAATAAAAACTTTAGGACATACGGAAAATAATAACGTTGGCTTCCAATAACGTAAAAAAAACATTTTTTCTCAGCTTTTTCTGAAAATGAGAGAGAATTAAGTTATCAGGATACTTCTCTAAATGTATCCCATTTTACTCTTATTATATCTGCATTAAAGGTCTCCCTTAATCACCATTAAACACTGTGAGTGCGGCAGTCAATTATACTTAATGAAAAACATTACAATCAATCGGAAAGGGAGAGCTTAATTTCCTGTTTGATTACTCTTTGACGGCCTCGAAACACTTCTGATGTCATAATCTGAAGTATGGGTCGTGTGCCGCGGCGTGGCGCCGGCGAGCTCGATTGATCCATTACACTAATCAACGTACCTATCGTATCCATCAATGGATTTAACAGCATGTTAGAAATGACACTTTGCGTCCATTTACTGGATTTCATTTTGTAACACGAGCGAAAGGAAGTTGCAAAACCAATAAAACCCATCGGATTGTAATATATTTGGTACGAATCAAATGACTCCATCATTATTAAATATCAGTAGCTACAAGAAACCGTAATAAAATCAAATCGATTTCAAACTAAGTAATTTAACTTTCCAGTGTGTAAGAGACTTACAACTTAACCCATTGCCGAACATAAATAGCACCGCTAGATGTGTGTACGAAGCCTTACAATCTATTAGGGGTTACTTTCGGGACATGGGGGCACGGGGTCACGAGGGTCACTGGGGTCACGAAGTTGATAAAGTTTAAATGGAGTTCGATTCAAAAGGGCTCTCTAAGACGGGCCAAAGTTTCATTGTGCGAGTTGGGGTCAGTTTTTTTAGTCTGGCTCTTAAAGCGGTTACGAGTTGGGGAACCTCAATACTGCTTTGACAAAACTATTATATTGTTAAACATTCGTATGTAATTTAGCAAATACTAAAGCATTATGCAATGAATTAATTCACAAAAAATTATTGCAATTTAAATGTTAAGTCTCAGAAAAAGAGGTCATGATGCCGTCGGTGGCGCAGTTGTTCAGCGGCTGACCTGACCGGACCTTAATCTACACGTTCAGGTTCGAACCCTACCATGTACCAATGTGTTTTTTGATTTTCATTTGTACATTTATCCGACGTTCTTACAGTAAAGGAAAAGTACAGTGATGAAACCTACACAGATCGACAAAGAAATTCAAAGAAATATGCGCAGTCAACTTGCAGTTGGCCAATATGACTATGGCGTTGTCACCCCCCAATTTAGGGTAGGCTTTGGGCCCCTTAATGGGGACATCAAATTACAAACCAAGGATAAAGATATCAATCAGTCGGTCACTGAACGTGTTTCATTAAGATATTTTTGCTTAAAGCGAATAAATTCTTTCTCAATTATATTTTTCAATTTATCCTAATTTATGAAAAAGGGATAAATGTCTATAGAATTGAACCTTTCAATTTCACTAAAATGCTAGCAAATTTCCATCAACAATATTCTTTATATTCTTATGATTCGATACAAAAACTCGGCAACGGGAAAATATTCTTCTTACATTACAATACGAAATTTCCCGTATTATTTGTACTTTATATTATTTTTATAAGTAAATTGTTTTGTTTTTCCTATAGATAATATATATATATATATATATATATATATATATATATATATATATATATATATATATATATATATATATATATATATATATTGCTTCACAAATTGCCTTTACTGAAGACAATTTGCTTCTAATCTTTTATTTATTCAACATAAAATAACAAATTACAAGGATGGCGTATGTATAGTCTAATAGAAAATACAAAATTCCTGGCCGGAGGGCGCTTCAGTCACTTATCAAATGGATATGTTGTTTTATATTTTATAGCAATATGGCAAGGGTTTTTTATATACCTGGTTAAGCTATATAATAAGTTACCGTGATTGTTCACTGCTGAATAACTTATACAATTACGTTTCAATATCTGTTTTATCAAAGAGTTATATTTCAAATGATCCAATTGATAACCTTAATTCTTATAATATAAATGCGATTGCATGAATATATGGATGTTTCTTCAAAGTTATATAAATCTCAAATAGATGTAGGAAATAGTCTGCAAGAACATATAGGCAACTAATTAAGTTTTCTTTTATATTCATCTTTCACATTCTCTTTGAAAAGAGTTAACAATATGTATCAGAACAAGTGTCACAGCAGTGGAAACTGTTACATATTAATATGTTTATAAAATTATCAAGAATGATGTCAATAAGCATATAGCTACAAATAAAATTGCTATTAATAATTTTATCTACAATAGAGAGGCACTCCCGTATTACAATAGTGTCGATGAAGTCATCACAACTTTACGACACATAAAAAACCAACAAAATTATATAAAATATCCAAAGTATGTTAGCTAGCTATTGTATTGTCCGACATCCCTACACGAAGCGGATTATCTAGATATCAAAGCAAACATGTAAAAGGTGAAATCGACTTTGAACTTAGACATCGGTCCCGAATCGACACAGAGCCGACATAAATCCGACTGAACATACACTTCAATAAGGTCTGAGTACACACTTAAATACGGCCCGAGTACACACTAGTGGTCCTTCACTAAATGAGGGTTTACTACAACAAATATTTGATAATATTTTATTTAATAAATAATTGTAGTGTGTACACACATTTTACACGATTAAATTACGACACGATAAAATAGTTATCGTTATAGGGAGCGTCGGTGGCTCAGGGGTTTAAGCACTTGACTTGTAATCTGCAGATCCAGGGTTCGAATCTCGCCATTTGCCAATGTGTTTTTCGATTTACATATGAACAGTTATCCGACTTTCTTACGGTGAAGGAAAACATCGTGATGCAGCCTGCACATATCTGTGAAGAAATTCAAAGATATGTGTGAAGTTAGGGCCAAGTCACCCCTTACGTAGCGTAGGCTTCGAGCCCATCGGTGAGGACATATAGTGAGCTGATGATGGTGATGATGAAGAGAGTTAACACTTTTACCACATATATGTATAACCATAAATTAACAATTAAAGTCTGCAATGTACTTAACTGTGCAAAGCGGCTGCATGAAAACGGCTGCTGTACCATATGAAACAATTTGACTTTTAAGCTAAAAACGAGCGAAGTTCAATAAATGTGAGATCATATCCACTTAAGCTCTCGTACGCTCGCTCCAACTTGCTTAAACTTGTATTATATCTGTACAGTAACTTACAACTTTTGCAACTTAATCTTAGTAAAGTTTTCATAAAGTTCAAATAAAAAAAAATCATCAAGTTTAATTTCTTAATGTACAAAATAAACAAGTATTAGTTTTCTTTTATTAACTAGTTAAAAAAATATGTTTAACTAACAGCCGCCGACGACTTTGTCCGCGAGGAATTAAAAAAAAATTATAAGTAGCCTATGTTCTTTCAGACTCTTTTCTACATCTATGCCAAATTTCGTCGAGATCCATGCTGCCATTCTGGAGATACCATCAAACAAACGTTCATCCATCCAAACATACGCATTTATAATATAAGTTGTGTAAAGAAGTTATATATTTGTATTGTCAAAGACATAAAACATC